AGAAAATGTTCCTGGTTGCAGCAACAGTTTATATAAAATTAAAATTTATCACATTTTTAAATCCAAAAAGGTTTAAATATTCTTACAGTTATTCAAATTCAGAGCTAAAACTGCAGTTTGCTGCAGAAACCAGAGACAGACTGTTGGTTCAGGTAGAGAGAGCCCAGTGTGTCCAACAGTAACTCCAGCGTCCATTATGTCCTTCATGTCCAGCAGTGACTCTGTCTCATGGTTTCCACCATCAGGTCTTCTGGTTCTGTTGGGTCAATAGAACCCGGGTTTTCAGAGCTGAATTGATGCAGATTTTATTTTAATTACAACATGGAACAAGTCTTTAACTAGGCCAGTCAGATCCAGATGGACATCAACCTTTTCAGAACATTTATCCCATCAAACATGAGGTGTGATATCATGATGAAAGTCTAATTTGGCACAAAACATGTTTAACTATTGAATATTAAATAGTGATTACATGTAAAATCAATAATCAGCCTCTGTTAGTGGGTCATTCTGCACATTCTTCAGATATTAATCTCCTCAGATATTGATTTCACTCAGTCATGTGCAGCTGATCAGAGCTGCTGGTTTGTTAAATAACAGATGAAGCTGGTCAGATTGGTCAGCTGCACATCCACAGCTCAGATCTGGACCCGACTGATTTACAGGCTGAAGAATCAGAAAAATGCATCAATAAGTTTCTGCAGAAACGTGCAGACATGTTTAACCTGCTGCAGCTTCAGGAAGAAGCGATGAAACGATCCTGCTGTCGTCCATCTCTAGTGGAAACAGTTTCTGGTAAAACCGTCCACAGCTGGTAGTAACTAGTTATCTTTACTCAGTTACTTTTACTAAGTAACCTTTTGGAAAAACTGTTTCCATTTAGGAGTGAATATAATAAAGTGTCATTTTTTCATTTAATATCATGAAGATTTATCAGAACTCACTTCGGTGAACGTTTTGGATCCTCATCTGGTAACGTCACTAAATGAAGACCAGACATGGTTAACCAGTAGCTGGTGGGATTTTTTACAGTGTTTCTGGTTCTACTGGTTCTGAAAACTCTTCCTGGTTCTCTGCTCTCTCCGTCTTCTGATTCTGATCCATGTTAGGAAAAGTTCTGCTCAGTTTGAACCGGATTACAGCCTGATGTTTATTCTTCATGATAAACATCAAAATATATTTGACCAAAAACAGAGAAACTTAAACCTCCAGATCGGTTTGGAGTCCATCAGGAAGGAGTTTACTGGAAACTGCCAGGAGAGCGCACACCTCCAGATTGCGCCAGGCCCTGCTGTGCTGGTTGCTAAGAGACCAAAGTAAATCAGAGTTGTGCTGAGGAAGAATATTGTAACATCCTCAGAGTGTGAAGAGTCTGAGCGGCTCGTTGAAGAGAAGCTCCTTCATCGTCAGGTCTTCCTCCAGCCGTTGTTGTTGCTGTAAATCCTCAGGCCGGTCGATGGAGTGGGTCCGGTCCCTGGACCAGAAGCTGTCAGGCGATCAGGCATCGGTTCTTGTACTTGTCCTTCATCGCCTTCAGCTCTCTCTCCTGGGCGTTCTTTAGCTCTTCCATTTCTCTCAGCTGCTTGTCTTTGTGCTCCAGCTCTTCTTTCAGTCGTTCCTCTTTGTGGACCAGCAGGTTGTCCAGCAGTTTGTACTCTCTCTGCCGTTTCTCCTCGTTCTCCTGCATGTCCATCCGGTGTTTCCGCTCCAGGTTCTGGATTTCCTCCCGGTGTTCCTCCATCAGACCAGCGAAGTTTTCCGTGTATTTCTCCCTGAAGTCGTTGTGCTCCTCTGCTTGCTCTCTCGCCTCCTCTTGGAACTTCTTCCTGATGTCGGCGGCTTTCTTCTCGTACTTTTCGTCCAGATCTCCCAGCTTTTTGTCCTCCTGTTCAGTCTGTTGTTCAGACGTCTTTTCGGTCTGATCGTAATACATCTGCAGCTGTTTGAGTTTTATTTCAGCCTTTTTCCGTCTGCTCTCATTCTCTCTCCTTCGACGTTCCCAGTATTCCTTCAGCTCCTTCTTCCTGTTCTCTTGCTCTTTCCTCGTACTTTCCTTGAGTTGTCCCAGTAAACTCTTCTTCTCCAGATCTGCTGTAGAATCCATTTTTTCCTGCAAATCTTTCAGTTTTGCTTCAGACTCCTGATTTTCCTTCTCCTCCTCTCTCTTCTTCTTCCTGTCCTCTTCATCCCTCTTTTCCTTCTCTTTCCTTATCCTCTCTGTCTCGTTGGTCATTTTAACCCTCGCTTGTTCCAGTTGTTTTAATGTTTCTTCTCTCTGACTTGCCAGCGCTGCCTTTTGCTCCTCCATCGTCTCTTGCAGCTCTTTCATTTCTTTGTCCCGTTGTTTCTCAATCTTTTGCAGCTCTTTCTGCATCTCCTCGTTCTTCTGTTCCAGGATTTTCTCCACCTCTTTCTGGATCGCCGCCTCGGCCTCCCTCAGCATCTCGTTGGTGAAGCAGCCGCCGCCGTTCTTCTTCACCATCTGCTCGATCTTTTCCAGCAGCCCAGAGACCTGCTGTGCTTTGCCTTCTTTGTCGTAGTTGTTGAAGACGTGGAACCGTCCTCCGCAGTCTTCGATCAGGTTCTTGATGTGATCGTCTCCGTTCTCGATGTATTCCTCTACAGATATTGAATGATGTTCTAATGAGTCTCCCTTAGTGAACAGGATGATGGTGAACTTCTCAGAAGTCTTTCCAAAGACCCTCTTGACCAGTTTTAATGTGTCCTTCTCCTCTGCAGTGAACCTGCTGATCTGCAGCACCAGCAGGAAGACGTGTGGCCCCGGAGCCAGGAGGCTGATGCACTTGGTCATCTCCTCGTTGACCTCCTCGTTGGACAGGCTGGTGTCAAACAGTCCAGGCGTGTCGACCACCGTGACCGAGCGGCCGGCCACTTCGCTCTGCGCTTTCTGGCAGTACTTGGTGACAGACTTCTGGAGAGCTTGAGCTTTGAACTCCTCTCTTCCCAGGATGGTGTTTCCGGAGGAGCTCTTCCCACAGCCGGTCTTCCCGATCAGGACGATCCTCAGAGTGTCTGGGGTCGGCGGCTCATCGGCTCCTGGAAGGAAAAGAAGCCATCAGGTTTTTAGTAGAAGCCCAGGAGTCAGTGGAACATAGGAGGGCAGGTTGGTAGAAAGGATGTGAACTTCTGATGTACGTTTACCAAATGCACCCTGGGTTTTATTTCAAAGGTGAGTCTGGGCATTAATGGAAAACCTTTGTGCTTTAAAGCAACTTGTTATCCACCTTCTGTCACAAGATCATGATCAAGATCATGAAAGCTGCCAGGGGGTGCTGCTGAGCCATTCCTGTTCTGACTTTGTGAAACTATTAAAACACGTAATTTTCACCCAGTTCTGATCGTCCGCCGAGTTTGGTGAGTTTTTGTTTAGGCCTCCAAAAACCAAACTGATTTAACGGGAAGAAGAAACAGATAGATAGACCTTCTCAGGTTGTTAGGGCAATTAACACACTTTAGCATTAGCATCTGCTAAATACCATGTTTGTGCAGCTTAGCTGTAGCAGCACTAATGTTGATGCTTTAAGCCGGTTAGCACAGCTAACTCTGCTTTTAGATTTATCTGGTTTAGCCACATCAGTGGGTCGACAGATAAAAGTTAAACTCCTCCACCAGGAGGTCGACTGCCCTCTGAGTACACAGGGGTGAGCAGCATTACAGCCTCTGCTGCCCCCTGGAGGCCATGGGAATAGTGCATCTTCATTCAGACTTGAATAGTTTGAATTTCCTTCCTGATTCTCCCTTTTCAAAATCTTCCAGGAGAGCCGATGCAAAGTAACGTAATGGGAGGATTTTGTTGTTTATTGTGTTTTGTATTTATCACTTAAAGCACTTTGAACTGCCTTGTTGCTGAAATGTGAGATTCTAATGAGCCTGACTGCAGATGGAGGAGGTTCTACCTGCTAAAGGAGGTTCTGGACTGGACTTTGTTTTTTACCCTTTTCTACGTTTTCTTTGTATAATGAGTTTAATGAGTTTTTCCACATGAGGTTGGAATGAAGTAATTCTAAAACGTGTCATAGATCAGATCTTTCTGATCGATGGAAAACTCAGTATTTGTTTTTAATGAGTGGATCTCACTCACTGCTGATGTTGGTTTTCCTCTTGAGGTTCTGAACTTCTTCCTCCAGATGAACAATGTTTTTATCTTTTTCCCAGATTTTTTCTGCTTGAGCGTTGGCGTGTATTTTGGCTGTGTATCCGTGTTGCTCGTCTTCAGACATGATGTTTTTCTCTATGACACGCAGCAGCTCTGGGATCTTCTGCCTGTCCTTGACGTTCAGAACCACATATCTTCCTCCGCAGCTCCGGCAGAGATCCTGGACGCCTCTGCTTTCCCTGATGAAGCCGGTGACAGCTGGAGCTGCAGGATCCGACTCCACAGCGAACAGGATCATGGTGAAGTCATTGACTCTGGAGCTGAATGTGTCCTGGATGGTGTGTAACTCTCCCTTGTCTTCATCAGTGAGGGGACCCACAGGTAGGACCAGGATGAAGGCGTGGACACCCTCAGGGTCACAGAGGGAGACACACCTGAAGGATTCCTCCATCACTTCCTGCTGAGCTTTTCTGTACAGTGAAGGCATCTCCAGAATGGAGACCCAACGGCCACACACCTCTCCTTGGTTCATGATGATGTCTGAAGGGTTGGAGACCGAGTGAAGCTCTGTCTGGCCCAAAACGGCCTTCGCTAGTGAGGCCTTCTCAGCGTCTCTGGTCCCACACAGAACCAGGTTTAAGGTTCTCCTGTGAGGTCCAGGTTCTGGGTCCATGTTCTCTCCAGCGAAGGTGAGGTAGACTCCCTTGTTGAGGTGCACGGTGGCCTTCACCTTCCTCATTAATGCCCTCTGGTCGTCTTCATGCATGTTGTACTGCCGTTCATCACAGTCTCGGATGAGCTGCTTGACTGGCCCAGATTCGATCTGTTCGTGGGTCTTGACCACCAGCGAGTGCTGCAGAGCGTCCGGTCCGAGCAAACTGAGGACGGCTGTGAGGCTTTGACTCTTCCTCTGTGAGAATGATGAAGGTTTGACCAGCAGCAGAAGGACGTTTGGTCCAGGATCACAGAGTCTCACACACTCCTTCATTTCTGCTTTGATTTTTCTCTCAGACATGTGGAAGAAGTTTGGAGTTTTAACCACCGTCAGTGAATATCCTCTCCACTCTCCGTTAGCAGCTGCACATTTAGGAGAAGTCGTCTTGTAGAAATGCTCTCGGCCTTTACCAAGGAGAAAGTTCCCCAGTTTAGTCTTCATCTCTTCACTTTTCCCAAACAGAACTATTCTGAAGGCAGAACCTGAAACACAACAAACCAACAAAAAACAGTTTAGACCAAAATAGAAACAATCAGTTTATCAATAAGGTATAGAGAGAATGGATCTAGAGTATAAACTTGTTGAAAAAACGTCAATTAACAACCAAATATGCTTTTACTGGACCAGAACTTAGTATTGGAGCTAGCCTAACCTGCTAGCATAACCTGCTAGCATAACCTGCTAGTTTAACCTGCTAGTATAACCTGCTAGCATAACCTGCTAGCCTAACCTGCTAGCATAACCTGCTAGTTTAACCTGCTAGTATAACCTGCTAGCATAACCTGCTAGCATAACCTGCTAGCATAACAGTAGACAGACATCTTCACATTAATATCTTTCAAAAACATTTTTATTGTCTTGTAGTGAACTTGACTTGCTGTTATGATACTTTTACTCAGCTTATTTCCTGTTTGCTGTTTAAAATCTGCATTTTGTTGTTTTAATCTCTGTTTCATGTCATGATGTTTGGTGTAAATTGTGAAGCACTTTGGTCTACTGCTGCTGTTTTAAACATATTTGAAATTACTCTGCCAATTTTAAACTCTGGAGTTAGTTTCAGGTTTAGGTTCTGGTCTAATTAAAGACAAAAACCAAAACATGGTGCCTATTTTTACCAGTGAGTCAATAATGGCCAATTCTGGTTTAATGGAGGAATGAAGTTTCATGTAACAAAGGAAACTCATTCCTTACTCACTGGAAACCTGGGGGTCCATCGATGTCTGTTCCTCAAATTTCTCTGAGCTGACTCGTCGTCCTCTGTTCTCTGTCAGAGGTTTTTCCAAAAACTGCCAGATGTCAGAGAGTCTGGTGGTCCTCCTCCACATAAACTCTCCTCTGCAGTTCCTCACCATGGCCTCTAGGGCCCCCAGACTGGCAGGGTTTTGTCCGGGAGTCTCTCTGGGTGTCTTCAGAACCAGCGAGTGAGCAAAGGACTGGTCACTGATATGCTCCAGGATCCTGCAGAGCCTGTCTCTGTGGTCCTCTGTGAAGCTCTCAGGCTGCAGAACCAGCAGGAACAGATGAGGTCCAGGAGCAGAAAGTCTCATGCAGCGTTCGATGTGCTCCATCAGGTGGAACTGGGAGATGTTGGGCAGCAGCAGATTGGGAGTGTTGACGATGACCAGGCCTTTCCCCATCAGCTGTCCTCTGAAACTCAGGCAGGTTTCTGGTTCCACCTCGGTGTTGAACTGGGATTGTCCCAGTAGGGAGTTTCCAACCTGGCTCCTTGAAGACCAGCTGTTCCCCATCAGAATGATCTTCAGTGGGGAAACTGAAGAACAAGACAGGAAACTTAGAAACATTGTCCAGTTTCTGGTCCTTCATTCATGTTGGTAACTTTTCAGAAGCTTTGTTTGCATCTGCGCAGGTTCTGATTGGAGTCTGTGTGCATGTAGTGCCACCTACTGGCCAACTAGTGTAAGTGGAGCAACAACCAGAGGAGCCCAACAACAAACCAGTTCAGTTTATTTACATCAACAGTTCAGATGCTCCACTGAAACTGGATATCCATGGTAAATGGTAACTAGCCAAAATGGCTGCCACTGCCACATGTGAGATTAGGAAAATTATAGAAATATGAATATAGATTAAAGCCTATTGGTTTCAACAGAGGCTGACAGCCTAAAGACATAAATGTTGCCCAACGTGTCTTAGCATCATTCTTATGATCCACCTGAGGCTGAAGAGGCGACTTCCTCCCAGTTTTAGCTAAATGTTCGTTTATGTTTATAATAATGTTTTAATGTTTTACTCCTTTTGGGGGATTTGTGGATTTTCTGTACTTTGCTGTGACGATACAGTCATTTTCCTCTCACTGATAAAGATTCACTGATAAACTGCTTAGACCAAGAAACTGAGGATGAGAAAAGTTAACAGTCTGAACTTGTGCAGAACTTTATCAAGTCCAAAGTGTTTCACACTAAAGTCAGACATTCACTGTTGGTGATGAACTGCTGGGTAGCAGCAACTTTAACTCATTTATATTCAGAAACTAACAGCTTTGTGGTTCAGGAGTCCAGCAGCAGTGAGTCTCCAGTTTTAACACACCTGAGACACACACACACCTGAGACACACACACCTGAGACACACACACCTGAGACACACACACCTGAGACACACACACACCTGAGACACACACACCTGCATTCAGGGCAACACTTCCTGTTTTCACATTCAGTAAAAGCTTCAGAAACGCAGATAAACACCAAACCTCCAGACCTGCAGATGGACCATCAGCTGCAGAAACATGTCAGATCAGGACTTACAGGTCAGAGGGAGACCTCTGCTGGCCAAACGAGGCACTTCATAAAAAACTGAGAGAGAGAGAGAGAGAGAGAGAGAGAGAGAGAGAGAGTTTTCTGTTAGGTCATTCAGATGCATTATGGGAAGTTTATGTGACGTCATAGAAAGCCAATAAAGCTGGACTCTATAAAATCAGGGTGGAGACGATCTCTGTGACTTTGCAGCCATTCTCGGTTTTTGTTGCTGTTGATCCTTTTTAACACTAGAGGGCGCAGTGACATGTTTTCATGCTGACATCTCATTTTTTTCCAGATGCAGGTTTTTTACCAGCAGCAAACTGGAATAAATGTTGATGCATTTGGAAACAGAAGTTATGATCGAATAATCACTGAAATAAAGCAAGAAGATAATTTAAAAACATTTTGGAGAATTTAGGATCACAAACATTTTAAAAAGTGTAAAAACTGAAGATTCAGGTCAGAAAATCTGATTTTCTTTAACTCTGCAGGTAAAACTGAGTTCAGGAAATACAAGTTTTAATCATTTGTATTAAGGTCTGTTTAAACTAACAGAAGCTGTGATATCAGGCAGAACATTATGACCGCTGACAGGTGACATGGATAATACTAACAGATTTTAGGCAGCTGGTCATAATGTTATGCCTGATCAGAGTAGATATATGAGAAACAGAATGTACATAGATCTGTTTAAATAGAGAGACAGTCTGAACTCACCAGCTGCTTCATCCATCATGATCCTTCAGGAAACGACGAGGAGAAACTGAGCAAACAGAAATATTTAAATTTACAATATCAAAGGTTCTGAACTGATAAAATGAGCTTTTATTAAGTAATTATTTAAATGTTTAACCTGTCAGCGTCTCAGATGTGTTTGAAAAACATCCTGGAGAAGAAACTCTCCTGAATTATGCTTTTATTTTGAAAGGATCCCCATTAATTGTTAATATTTCTCAGGTAAGGTGACATTTTTCTCCTCATCCCAACATGCAGAGGTTGGTTGTGGATCAGAACTCCATAAATCAGAATTTTAGATGATTTCAGATTTTCATTAGCCAAAGTTTCAACAATAAAAATGATCAAACCTGCAGACTGAACTCTGGAGGATCTGGTCTACAGACTCACCGGCTGTCTGGACATGCAGACGTTGAATTAAACTGAGAGCTGAATCAATAATCCATCATTTAAATAATAAGTTCAGACAAATTCATGTCGGTTTTCCCTGCTGACAGACGGACTGAACTCTGCTCTGACCTTCTGGTTCTGTTTATTGCATTCATCTGACTTTATAATTCAGTTTTATTGATGCTATAAGAAGCTGTTTTGCTGTTGATTCTGTTTCTGTTTGAACTTTGATTATTTCCTCCTTTATGAAGACGAAAACAGAAACAAGTCGATTTGTTCTTCATGTTTCCATCTGATTCTAGGAGAAGGAATAAAGTTCTGGAGATGATTTTGGATCCAAACCAGAGAAAATTCAGACACAAAATCAAACAGAAAAAAAGCTGTAAAAGTTAGAAAAGATTTTAAAAGTTTTCATTTAATATTTTATTAAACTCACCAGAAATTGTTGTAACATCATTTTGACTTCATGTTCAACTTCACCAAAGATCTGCCTGACAGGAGGTCAAAGGTCACAGGAGGCGGGGCTTAGGAGACACAGGGACAGACAAACTGACCAATCAGAGGCCGGCGTCTGAGAGGAAACGTTTTTATTTTTCATGATTTAAATCAATGTTGTTTATATTTATCTATAATAATCAGACCTGCAGCTGATGGAAACACTGAACAGGAATATGATCCCAGATTTATTAAACTTTATAACATTTATGAAGAAAATAAAGAAAAATCAGCAGCGTTTTTAAAGTGGTGTCCAAACTGAGGCACGGGGGCCGTCTGTGGCCCTCAGGAGGATTTTATGCAGCCTTGAACGCAGCCACAGCTTGGAGCCAATTTAACCGACCAGCAGAGGAAGTTCAACAGTTACAGAAATCTTTATTAGCAGTGATGCATTCTGGGACGTTTCCTGCTGTTCCACCTGAACGCCTCACAGACTCACCTTCATCTTCACCTGAAACTTTTCTAATGTTTCAGCATCAGATTAATTATTAATGTTCTGCTCTGCAGCCCTGAAACAATCTGTCTCTCCCAGATTTTAGTCGTATCAGTTTAGATATTTAATAAAGTTTCATCTTTTTTCTCATTATTTCATAATTAAAAGTTTTAGTTTCACTAGAGAGACCAGTCTGCAGTTATGAATCAAAACCTGGAATTTGTTTCATTTCATCATCCTCCCTTTAAGAACAGGGATTATAAACATCCTGATTGATATTTTTAATATTTCTGGCTGTTTTCATGCTTGTGCTCCAGCCACTTCGCTCTGGTTTCCTGCTGGGAGGCGGAGCTTCGTTACCGACCTGCTGGTACCAGACTGGACCCAGAAACTCCTGAGAAAATCGACTAAACCCTGAGATTTCACTCTGATGTCTTCAGAACCTGAACCGGGTCGGAGCCAGGACTCAGGATGATGATCGGTTTATAGCTGAACAAACATCATAAAAACAGCAGAAAAATGTCATAAAAGCATCAAACAGT